GATATACAAATTCAAAGAGGACAAACGGCAAATTGTGATTGCTAGAAATATCTATATTAAGTTGTAACTGTTCATCAGTATAAAGCATCAAATGACAACGTTGCGGTAAAGGGGGAGGGGAGGAGGGTTTGGAAAATTGTGCGTACTTCTAGAAAAATCCCGGCTACCCCCCTGATGACCATCCAAAAAATAATGAACGGCTATCATCCAACCCCACATCAATCATGCAACAGGAGTAACATCCTAAGAAACTTTTATTGTTTCTTAGTGACAACAGAACTAGCATAGGGAAGCAAGAAAGACACAGCTGTCAACAGAGTACAAGGTGATGATAAAACATTTGCTCTCTCTCTTTTTTACTCATGGTGTTTTCAATAATTACCACACATGCCACACAAGAACTTGGATCACCTCAACGTTACTTTCATTAACTGCACAGCTACAAAATCTTTACACTGAACAAGAGAGAAGTGCTTGTAAAACAGACCTTGTTGCTTTCAAAAGCCTTAAATTGTAAGGTCATCAAAGAAGGTGTGTCAACCGCTGGCAATAGATGGTGATGTCACTTAATGTTTCAAAAACAACGCGGAGAATCAATGTAAATCTTATCCCATATGACTATCACAACGACGTCAAAAGCACAAGACCATTACATGATCTATATACACAACATTGCTTTTGATATTTATGGCTATTCTATACCAAGAAATTCTTAAAATACTGCAGTCTATTCTCTAGCTTGATTTTTGAAAGACCAAATATTGTCGTTCCGCCAGTTTTTTATCTCAAAAACTACAGTATCTCCAGCCAATATAAAAACTAAGAGTGCAACCATTGTCTTTTCTTTTCTCCGCCTTCCTTTCTCCCACCTCCCTCTATTTTCATAATTCCCGCTACTTTTCCTTTCTTAGTATGATTTTATATAGCTTATCAGACGCAAGAATTAAGAAACCTGCGTTTTGGCTTTCCTTAATCAAGAGGCTGCAATTTTCACTCGCTATGTTTTCAAAAATCCAGCTACATTATACTTAATCTATCCCAAGAATGCGACTTACAGTGTATTCGCCATAAAGATTCATAAAGTAAAACATGCAATAAATAAATAAATAAACTGAGTAAATGAGAGATTCTTTGTAAACACAATGACCCTACTGTTCTCTCTTTCTGTTCTTATTAACCCTTTAGGTCCCAAGACTGACCAACATCAATATTCTCCTAACAACATCAGTAGATCATCAAGAGTAAAGGTTGTGAGAAAGAAAAAAAAGATCACTAACTGGGGATTTAAGGCGCTCTGAGCGCTAAGAGCCGCCATCTTGTTTTTTGCGCGCAAAGCCTTATGGTCCGAAAACCGAGAGCGAGTTGGGTCGAAATACGGGCATTTTGTTCAAAACTGGCGGAAAATATGATTGCAGTGTTTCCGCCATGTTGACAAGGAAGGCCTGAGCTTTTCGATGATGTGAAAACCACTCGAAAAAACGGATTCTAGACTTTTTTAGCAGCAATGATAGGTAGGCGTTGTTTACACGTCTTTTTTTCGTTCTTCTGAGGGATATTTTCGGCTTTATCGGGCGTATTTCGAAAAAGTGAAACGATAGCAATGTTTTCAATTTAGTCGGCCACTGTCATGTAAAATTTGGTGCTGTTTGGCCCATCCGCAGGGATTTTAGACCAAGCACATAAAGAAAGGAAAGGACGCTTCAACATCGGGGCTTTTGCAAGGGCTAAACGGCTCGCGAAAGAGGAAGCTATTGGAAGAGCTATAAGCAAATGCACTGAATTGCAGTCCGTATGTGCTGAGATGGAAAACGAAGTACATGCATTAAAAGTTAAGGTAGGTTATTTTTGTTTACATGCTTTATCTTTTTTTGTTCACAAGATTCTCATGAAGGAAATTTCTTAAAACAAGGGTAGTGTTAAACTGTTGTTAGTTTTCGCCCTTAAAGAGGATGGATAAATAACCTTTTATTTATATATTTATTTATTTACTTATTGGATTGTTTATTTATCTATGTATTTATTTATATATATATTTATTTATTTATTTTCTATCCTTAGGGGAGTGGTTAACAATATATTCATTTATTATGTCATCCATTCATGACTCCATGATTAAGTTTTGTTTGTTGATTTATTTATTTATTTATTTATTTATTTTCCATCCCTAGGGGAGTGGTTAACAATATATTCATTTATTATTTCATCTATTCATGCCTCCATTATTAAGTTTTGTTAAAATGCTTATAGTAGGCACTCTGGCAATAGAATACAGTAGCTAAGATCATGTCACTTGCTAGCAGAGGTAGTGCTAGCAAACACCCTTGGTCATTTATACCTTGCAGGTATGGGTTTCCTAAAATAATCAGATTATTACATGTCTATTTTTTTTGTATGTTGCATGCAGAGAGGCCTTCTTGAAAACGAAAAGGTCCATCTACCAAGAGGATCAGCAATGCAACAGGTCTCTAGCTTCAAAGATGGTAATAGTGAAGTGTTGGACCTTCCTCCAAGTACAGGAAGAAAAAGAAGGCTGTTAACTATGGAGAGTGCTTCTAAAATTCATGGCAATTCAAGCTTGTCTCCTTCAAAAAAAAGAAAAGTATCTTTGAGAGGACTGTTTAATACTGTCGTAACCCATGCAACAACAAAAGAGCTCAAAGAAATGTCAAAAGGGTCAACGAAAATCAATGAAAAAGTAGTTCCATCCCTTACTAATGTAGCTGTCAGGGCATTTGAAAAATCTGCTGATAATGTCAATCGCTCTGTAATGATTTTATACAGGGAGGGCTCATGAGCAAAGCTAAGTACAACAGTGTTCTGAGTTCACTTATGTACAAAACTGGGGTAGACAGTAAGAAAAAAAAGATGTAAGTTATCTAATGGGGTTCTCCTCCTAAACTTCTACCTTATAAAGATCTTATGAAGTTCATCAAGTCCATAGATATAGGGGTATTAAAACCAATCCCCCAGGCTGAGCAAATAGAGAACCAAGATAGCCCAAATGTAACACAGCAAGTGAGTGGCTGCTTCCTTGATCTTGAAGCCCGTCTATTGCAGTTGGCAGATCTGTATCTATCAATAGATAAGGTAACACCAATTCTTAGTTGGTTTGGAAAAGCCCCGGGTACTTTTTTGAACCAATAATCGGTTGCAACAAAAAGCGCTGCGGATTTTTTAAAACAACTACGCGCGTACATGTTTTCATAGCCCAGTACAATTTAAAGGGGCTATGTCCTTTTGCTCTTTGCTATCCCCAGTTTGAAAAGCTAAAACATGTCTTCGCATCAATTGATTTAAAAACGTCATGGTCCAATTAAGACTATACTATCGGCAATGAAACTGTTGCCCTGTTGTCTGTTTCTAAGAATGGCAAGAATGGACATATGGATAAAAACTTGAAGAAATTGGGCCGACGTTTTCAAGTTGTAAAAGTTTTAAAAGTTTTCTAATGAAATTTGACAGATGTTTTATGTCTCCATAATAACTCCACAGAAGCATTTTATGAATGGGTAAATGCACCAAGTAATGACTTCAGATAATCGAATTCACCAAAAAGTTTGTGAAACGTATAAACGCCCTCATCTGGATTATGTTTATGCTTATTAGGAAAACAGCAATTTACGTAGACTTAATTTCCCTGGTACTCTTATCTAATAAACAGCCTAATGAGACGGGGAAAAGAGCTTTTTTTCGCCCTTCGTGCTGGTTCTCGCAGTCCGTGCTCGCACGCTAAAAAAACAAAGTCTGTGGACAGGCTAGGTTTTAGTGGGTTGGATCATGCAAAATATGTAAAATACCTCTATCGCATCAGGTGAGAAGCTTATCTCGTACCCAGATCTCTTATTGACGGCTTCGTCAGCAAGCGATCTGGGTACGAGATAAGTGAGAAGTCAGCTTAGGGCTGAGACCCCGTCAGGAATGTGTTCTGGTCGAACCAGTAATGAGGTGAAGTCTGAGTACCAGCAGGGCAGGGCAGGGCAGGGCTCCTGCCTCGGCAGTCTCCAAAGTGCCGTTAACTTTTCGGGCCTTAAAGCCCTAAATCAAATATTCAAATCAAATTCTAAAATTAATATTAAAGTGGAATGGTTATGAAATCGGTTAGACTCCTTTGTTATATGTTTTTGTACCTGACCGTGCACAAAGTTCATTAGCATTCCTATCATTTTGAAATTACTGAAGAATAGAAACATCGCATTAGTTTATTCAGTTATAATTTGAGAACAAAAAACAAAGGATTGTGCACTGCACTGTCATCAGGGAACTTTCAAAATAAACTGTTGTTTCAACTTTGATGTTTGCGCGGCTTTCATAACCAGTCTCCTCTACTGACTATGGTCTGACTGAAAACTAAAATGTGTCTTACAATGGAACCTTGATTTAACGAAGGGCATTGCGACTGGCAACACTGTTCGCTATAACGAGATTTCTTTATGTCGAGGTTCAGTCTTTTTCATATATTGTATTATTACTAGAGCCAGGAATGTGCTTCGTTATACCGAAGGCTTCTTTATATAGAGGTTCGTTAAATTGAGCGGGTCTCCCTGTACTTGTGAGTTATCTGAGTCTAGCTACCAGTTTATGTTAACATACTTGATTTTTTTTAGTTGTGATTTTTAAATCAGTTACCCGAACAATTGTAGCGTTGTTATTAAATGTAACTACTTTAAAAATGTTTGTGTGATGAGCAGTGAATGCTCCCTTTTTAAAACGGCTGGCGACAGTTGCTTTAGCAAGAGTTTTAACTAGTAGCACGTATTGCTAAATCCCAAGCCTCTACCCTAACTAGTCCAGCTGTATTGAAATAGTAAAACAAACCAGGCAAACTATTCTAATAGCAGATTTCAGACAATTGAATATTTAGGGATTCTAAAAAAGGCAAAAAGCAAAAACAACAAGAACAATAAAAAAGCAATTAATAGGAAGTTTAAAGTTATATTAAATACATTGCTTCGCTCTTAGATTTAATGGTAATAAATATGATAGTTTGTGTTATCTTGCATTTAGCGGGATGGGTCAAGATAAAATACCTCCACCTCATCAGGTGAGAAGCGCCAAGTCCCGGCCAGGACTGTGTGCCTCTTCTGCACTGCAGGTGGAACAGAGTAGCAATAGCCTAAGACTGCTTCTGACAAACTGTTACTGTCGGCATTATCTCTAATTATGACGTCAATTCCAAAATATGGACCAAATTGTGAATTCCTGTAAATTGCCCAATCTGTGAATCCTTTCTCCACCTGGCTAACAAACGGTGCCAAGCCTTCATTATTGTTGAGCGAAAAAATAAACGCTTCGGAAGTAGCGCTCCAGTTGCCACTGGATTCTGAGAAACCAATAAAAAAATGGATTTAAAGTTTGAATTCATTTTATTACCAATATGTATCTTTTTCTTTCGTCAGACAATATAACAGCCCATTTCCACGATCAAAAATGGCGTCATTTTTCTATAGCCACCAGAATTCACTTGGTTTTGCCTTCTAGCTATTTAAACGAATAAAATATATTGAGTAAATCCAATTGAGGTAAAGTTAATTGACGATAGCCCTAACAATTGAACAGGAAAACAACAAACTGAAGGCTTCAAGTTGTTTTAGCAAGCATTGCACTTTTAAGGCCATTAAATTTCTTAGTGGTGCGATAACTTCCGAGGTTAACAAACTATTATCTATTAGTAAAAATCCAACTGGTGCTCTGTTATCAATGCTGCGTTCTGATTAGTTGAGCTACTACTAGGCTATATGTTATAGCCCACTAGTAGCGAAAAGCGTCGGGCTTTTTGGCGGCAAAAAAGGATTAAAGTCTAGCTTTAACTAGCTAAAGTTGTTTTGTCGCGATATTTTTGACCAACTAGTTGGATTTTACTAAAACAATTATTCCTCGAGCCCGAATGGGCTCTGAGTCAATAGCCCATGAGGCCGAAGGCGTCCTGGGTTTATTGACTCAGAGCCCATTCGGGCTCGAGGAATAATTGTTAAATAGAGAGGAGAAGTGTGACGTCACGTTACCATGGTAGCAAAATTTCTGGATCTCAACAATAGGGAGTTTAAGCAACGACGACGGCGACAGCAACGAGAACAGTTAAAAAGCAATAAGTTTATATTATCACGCTTTTTGTACATTTCTCAGTCGCTGTTGAACGACCGCAACATGAAACTTCCTAATTTCACACGCCTGCTTTAAGGAGTAGGTAAACACAACACAAAAATTTTCTTTTTCTTTTTCTACACTTAAATAAGGTCTCTTCGGATTCAACCCCAGAAAATGTGACAAATTAAATGAAAATGAATACGATCGATTAAGTGTGAAACAGTGTGAATACACTTTTTAAGTGAATTTTCCGTATTGTTGTCATCCAGAAATTTTGCTACCATGTGAACGTGACCTAACGATTTCTACTCTCTATAGAGATTTCTCAGAATAGTAATAAACTGATTCTGTTTTACGTGTAAATTAGAACCTTCCCATTGGATCGGCACTGGACATATGGACTGATACGGACATGCGGACCCCGTTTTATTACCGACTGTCTTGTTGCCTCACCACTCTAATACAGAAATGTATACAGCAAGGACACGTGGTCAGGCTTTACTGACTGTCCGTATGAAAAATGGTTTGCTGTGCATATTCTCTTAGGACACATAACACACACTGTAACGGGATTCAGTAGCTGCTTGATGCATTTACGGCATCACTACACTTAGCTTCTTTGCCTTTGAATTGGCACGATCCGCTTTTTTTTGCAATCCAATGCCTGTCAGATCGCATTCACAACTCACGCGCCAAGGAAAGGGAGCTAGACTTCAATCTCCTTGAAGGAGACCTTATTGTGAGCACAGACCGATCGAAGCCTTAACGAACGTTGCTGGGGATAGGTACGTGGGGTTCATCGAGACCTTGAGTTAATCGTGGCTAGCTCAAGAAAAAAAAAATAGTTTTTTTTTTACTTCGGTTTGGATTAAAAATAAGAGGGTACTCCATTAGAAGCGCCACTGTTGATATAATAGCCCACGTTCGATATATCAAAATTCTAACAAGAGTCTGAGGCTTTCATATTTCTCTATATTTTGTTTAGTATTCTTTGTGCTCAAGTCTCCTCTGGATGGAGTCGTGAAAAATTTGCAATTTTGTCCCTAAAGCCTCGGGGTAATTTAGAATTTATCGAACGTGGGCTATTAGCAATGACCTGATGTTTCAAGGGGGTGAAGACCCAGAAGAGAGTCATTAAGACAAATAAAACACCTCACCCTCCTTACAAGATGAAAGCTGACCCAGAGTGACGTTTCAGCCTTATAAACGAAGGGTTAAATTCTCAATAAACAGTGTAAGTAGATCAGAATTGTAAAGCTGTAACATTGCGGTAAAAAAGGATGATAAAATAAGGGAATTATTATTATTTTTTTACCCCAAGGAATATCCGTATATCCGCCAAAGATGAATTGGCCTTTCCTTATGATGGTAACAGTGTCGTTTTTTCCATCGCAGCGACTGTGAAACTGACTGACATTCCAGCCATGTAATGTAGCACGCCAGCACAGCAGCCAGTGAGAATTGTCCCCAACCGCATTCTCCAGAAAATTACCCAAATGACGAAAATAGCAATCACTGCTGTTCAAAATCGACGAGTTCATAAATTCTGAAAATAATGAAGAATATTTTAAATTACGTAAAAATTAACGTGACAATAGCCATGACATAATGAATTTCGACAAGTGTGGCGTAACCGTTTTAATGATTCTTTATTGCCTTTTGCCTTCCCCCTCCCCAGATATCATTCCTATTCATTCGTGTGAAATATCAAATCTCCTTTCCCCTCACCACTAAGGACAAAGGCCTGATACTCAGGCTAGAGCCAACCTACGATATAGTTTCGCAACACCAAGAAAAACCCAAAAAAGCTGTGACAAAAACTGCGTATCTAGCTAAAGATTAGTTGTCGAATATAGAAAATATTCTTTAAACAGTAAGTATGGACCTGAAGAATCAACCCATTCGTATCACCCTATTCTTATCTCCTTGCAGGCTTTATAGAGGTCCTTTTTCTTTGTTTATCAACGATATAAAACAAAGTGAAAATCTATAGTATTGTTCTTTCCTCGCTAATTCACTGATTGTGTAATAAAATTTAAAATACTGTGAAACAGTTGACAACAAGCCTAAATCTCGTTTTCCACAAAACGTGTTTTAGCCCTCTAAAAGTATAAAAAAAAATTGTAGTCCTTTGTCTATAAGTTAGATTAAAAAATCAGCTGTTTTCTGGCTGGTTATATGCACATCCGGCTAACTAACAGACTTGATCTGAAAGGAGTCGTTGATCTGTTTGTTAATAAGAAGCATTCAAGAAGGCTTGAACTTGTTGCACTATTGAAATATCAAACCTAGTCAATAATACTGACTAACGACTTTCTTTCTAATTTGCATTTTTCAATAGGGACATTGACATTGTCCTTCTTAAAAACAGTAACATATAGTAGTTAGTCTCTTGGCCAAAAAATCAATTTTGAAGTTAACAAATTTGAGAAATATCCATGGTTTTTGAAAACGCTCGTAATGCAGTTTCCGACAATCTTTTTTCGCCCGAGAGACTTGTACCTCCAGCCACGTTTTGTCCGTCTCCTCCTTGGATCGCAACCCCTTCCCCATCACAGTATAATAAAACCTGATGAATACACAGAAATAAATCAGGACGCTAGAGGATGGTGATTAACACGGCATTTAAATGACTCTGTGGAATCCTTCATCATTGATTACTCCAACCACATTGTCTGGGAGTTCATTCCAAGTTTTTTCATATGAGAATAAGGTTTTTGCTATCAGGGTTATTGCTACGATAGTTACCTGTGCAGTTAAAGCCATTTCCAAAATATCCTGGTTTGCATGTACAATTGTATAAGCCTTTAGTGTTGTTACAGAAAGCACGCGAGTCACCGCGATGCTTTCCCGTCTCACACTCGTTCATGTCTGCAAACAGTAAAAAGAATGTATTGATTTATTTAAATGAATTTAATTCAACTCAGAAATGATTCTTTCGTTTTATCGAACTTTCGTTCACAGAAAATAATTTTCTTTGATGATTATCCTTTTCTTTGATCGCATGGGCAAAGGAAGTGGCTAAGAAAAAATTGGACAACATGACCCCTGCGTAGAAGGCTTAAATGTAACAATCGACTTTAATTGTAAAAACGTCCTCAGTGAAATGACATTTTTACAATTAAATATAATTGATTTCATCCTCAGGAATCAATTTACATCCCGTGGTGTGGACGGACGGGTGTACGGTCACGTGATTACCAAAATTTTGGTTATTGGTATCAGGATTTTCGCTCCCTTATTTTACCTGTGCAGTTAACGCCGTTTCCGGTATATCCTGGTTTGCATGTACAAATGTAAGAGCCTTTAGTGTTGTTACAGAAAGCATTGGAGCTGCAGTGATGCCTTCTTGTCTCACACTCGTTTATGTCTGCAATATAGTAAATAGAATGCATTGATTAATTTAGAAGAATATATTTTTTCATTGAATGATACCTTCAATCCTGCGTCTTTTGAAATTTTTCGTTCGTAAAAAATCATGTTGATGATTACCGTTTTCTTTGATTGCGTGCGATAATAAAGAATACACACCACTTCTTGGAAAGACTGATGGTTTGTTCATTATGCCCTTCCCTAAATATCCACAAACGGGAAATGTGTTTCCTCGGTATACTTCCTTTATTAATCCCTGGATGAAAGTAAAAAAATTAGGGGTTTTCCTGCCTCGTTTGAGTTCGCCCAGTTCGAGTCCGACCTCGATTTCGAGTTTGCCCTCTAAGTTCTATCAAGTCCGTGATCCTTAATATGAAAACGTTCAAATAATTACCTATCCTTTTCGAAGCATTCGAGTTCGAGTTCGACTCTCGATTTCAAGTTCGCACCCTTAGTTCTATCGACATCTATCGTTAAACTTACCATGAAAACAAACGCAGCAAAATTATTTCGACAGAGCTCAGCCTGAGTGCTCAGTAATAGCGTGGTTTACGGTAGATTCGTACTTGTAATTTACTCTTACTCAGGCCAAGAAAACACACATAATTTAGGCTAGCTAGAGACTAAATGAAAGTGGCAAGAAATAGGCCGTCACCGCTTGCCCATACGCAGTTTTTCTGGCAATTCGCAGGCTTATTATACAAAACATAAATGGTATCGTCTTATTTTTACAGTCCCTTTTCTTCATACCCATCAGGCCCATACAACAGTGGTGTTTTGTACAGCTCTGCCCTTAAGTGTTTCTCCGTTAATTACACTTAGCTTGTTATGGCTACTTTCTTGAGTGCTTGTTAGGCTAAATTTCGACACTGAAGCAAAATGGCCTTGAAACAGCGACATAGGGCAGCGGCAATAATGGCGGCAAATGGCACAGGTGGGTTGAAACTGCGACAGCGACAGAGAAAAGCGCAATTGTTAATGGTTACTTCTTTTGACAAATGTCCGCCTGTTTTATAAAGTGTGCAGCCCGCGACAAACGAAGTCCCACTAGCCTCACTTAATATGCAGGGGCCAATTTGTTGAAGACAAAACAACAGAGAACAAAAAGGTGATACCACTGTTCCTGAAAACTCAGCAAACCATTCCAAATAATGGAAATAAAAGTGTCATACTAACGTTTTTGCGCAATCAATGTTTTTATGATCATTTACCTTGACAGGTATTACCGTCACCCGTAAAACCCTCTTTACAAGAACAAAGGCAGGAGCCAAGCGTGTTCTTGCAGTTTGCGTTGACGTAGATAGATAGATAGATAGATAGATAGATAGATAGATAGATAGATAGATAACTTTATTTAAACACGGTTAAAATTCCTTCAGCATGTACACAAAATCCAAGATCTATTATACCTAACTAAACTAACTCTGATTAAAAATATATTCATAAAATTTTAACTACCTAGCTATTTACAAATAAAAGCTGCTTTTCAAGGATGCCTTGTAAAACTTTATTAATGTATGATCTCATTCAAAACTGTTGCGACACAGTTTGCGTTTAAAATCATGTAAAGAATCTGCAGATCTTAAATCATGGGATAGGCTGTTCCACAGCCTAGCTCCGCTATAGGAGAAACTTTTCTTTAAATAATTGGTACGGGGCAGTGGAAGGACTAATTTATTTTCAGTATTCCTCAATCGATAAGAAGTTATTTCGTCACGAGATACAAATTTAGATGTTAGATAGTCGGGAGTCATCCCATGTACGGTTTTATACATCATAATAGCCGTCGATACTTGTCTTTGGTGTTTAAGCTTACGCCAACCCAGTGCCAGGAACAAATCGTCCGCATTAAAATCAGAATTAGCGGACATTAGAATACGGGCAGCACAATTTTGGAGCCTCTGCAGCTTATTGGAAAGACCAATGCCGCAGTCCATACGACATTACAGTAATCAAAATGCGGTTGAATTAAACTGTCGTAAACATTAATTAATTAATACATTAAAAGGAATAAGATGTTGTATTCTTTTAATTGCACCCAAAGAAGAAGCAATCTTTTTACAAATACTCTGTATGTGGCATTCCCAGCTTAAGTTTTGGTCAATATGCACTCCAAGAGATTTTGCCGTTGACACTTGCATCACGGGATGGTCGTTTATGATAAAAGAAGGAGTTTCAGAAAGCTTTGATAGCTTCTGCCTCGACCCAACTAACATAAACTCAGTTTTAGTCAAGTTAAGGGTCAGTTTGTTAGCCGATAGCCATATATACACCTTGTTTAAATCGTCGTTAACGCAGTCATTTATGAGTTTTAAATCTGCGCTGGCATAGGTTAGACTGGTGTCATCGGCATACATTCTAGGTTGTGAAAAATGCAAGCAATTAGGTAGGTCATTAATATACAGTAAAAACAATAAAGGTCCAAGAATTGTTCCCTGGGGAACACCACATGTAACTAATTTTGGGTTTGACATTGAGCAATTAATTTGGCAAGTTTGGGTACGATTGTTTAAATACGAAGTAAACCATTCGTGACAGGAGCCGCGTAATCCATAATATTGTAATTTCGTTAATAAGATATGAATATCAACTGTGTCGAAAGCCTTTTTTAAGTCTAAGAAGACAACGGCATTGACAAGGCCACGATCAACGTTCACTGCCCAGCTATCGGTAACTTCGAGAAATGAAGAATGAATGTAGAATGTAAAGAACGAAAACCAGATTGGTAACGGGATAGAATACGATTCTCAGTAAGATAGTGATACAACTGGTCGTAGACTACCCGTTCAAATACTTTGGCCACGACTGGGATCACCGATATTGGTCGATAATTGGTGGGATCATTTCGTTTACCAGAATTTTTATACAATGGAGTAACCCTAGCCGACTTCCACTCATCGGGAAAAATTCCTGTCAACAGTGATTGATTAAATATTAAAGTAAGAGACTCGGCAATTAGATCAGGGCACTCCCTTAATAATTTAGCTGATATACTATCTAATCCAGTGGCCTTTGATTTACAAAGTTTTGAAAGGAGAGAATAAATATGAGCAGATGTTATTTCCTTGAAGACAAACTCCTTAGAAGTTCCACAAAGAAACTCTTTGTAGGTGGTATCAACATTCGAAACATTTCGACTAAGCCTTGGTCCAATCTCAATGAAGAAAGTGTTCCACAATTCAGCAACTTCTGCTTGATTGCTAGATTTTAGTCCCTGATATTGTATTTCATTTATTATTGTTTTATTAAATTTGCGGGAAGTCAATTCATTGATGGTCTTCCATGTCTTACGTTGATCACCGGCATAATTATTAAAAGAATTATTATAATAGGCCTTTTTAGCAGCCTTGATTTCCTGATTTACTTTATTTTTGATCATGACCTTCCGGAATCGATTCCAAGAGGACGCATCCTTAGTTTTAACTGCTTTTTTCTTTAGCCGGTTTCTGAAATTCAGTCGTTTTTTCAAATTTGTGGTAATCCAAGGAGACTTGGTGGGACGGGTGCGTTTAGTTTTTACAGGGACGTGCTTATCACAAACACTTAGGAATAATTCTTTCCATTTTTTCCACATGTCATTGGGGTCGTACATTTCTTTGATATCGTCCCACGGTTGCGTCGAAACATCATTACGGAAATTATTGCTGTTGAAGTGTTTAAATTGTCTATAGCTGATCAAATTGATTCCTTTAGAAACAGGCGGGATTGAAATTTTACGGTACGCGTAAACAAGACTGTGATCGCTTATACCCACGTGTGTCACCCCAGAACAGAGAATATTGTCTTGGTGACTGGTGAAGATAAGATCAGTTAGGGTACTTGTTGAGGGAGTGACTCGAGTAGGCTCGTCGATTAATTGTTTTAAGCCATAAATTAAATATCGGTAACATTTAACAGAGCCCTTGCATAAATGTTTTCGCTGAACAGCAAACCGCAATTCATATCACCCATAAGATAATGTTCAACATTCTCGGAATCAAGTCTGCTAACAAGGAGTCAATATTCGAGAAAAGGTCTATAAGTGAATTTGGCGGTCGGTACCACGAGGTAACAACAAAAGGTGGCGTCTTTAGGCACTCATCTTCATCTAATGATATATTAAAAAATCAGACAGCATAAGGATAATTAACAATAGGGAGCTTACGAATCGATGACTTCCCAGAGGACGACGACGTCTCAACACTAGAAGTAGTTTATGCGCATGCGCTACCGGATGTGGCATTATTTCGCGCGTCGTCTTGAAGGAGGCGACGACTTCAGAAGAGCAGTTTTGAAGTCGTCTTCCTAGCAACGCGTCGAAAGGTACGTTTTGTTCGGAATATTTGCTGAATCTAACACTTAATCCGCAAATACCTTCCAAATATGCTAAGAGGAGCTTTCCTGAAACATCTTTTTACTTCACTGAATGTTATTCACGCCATAGTTCTTATTTATCAAACAGGAAAGATGTCAACTTGCGAAAAGAATGACCCAAGCCCTTCAAACGCACGGTAAGGGAATAAATAAAAAGAGAAATTGGCGTTTTAAGGTCAATTTAGATGCGAAGAGAGATAAACTGTAAAAGAAACTAGTCTTCTTCATTCAAAGGTTCTAAGTTTTTATCCATTCATTTGTTATAAATCAGTTTTGAATAGTAAACAAATGTTCTTTCAACGCTCTCGAGTGGTCACAAGATGCAGCACAAGCGATGCGAGGATTCAGTCAGATATACTGAAAAATTTTGTCAATTGAAAATTCGTGTCTAAGTTTGATATTTCAGTCTTTTAAAATATACTGTCTTTGATTAGATATCGACTGCTATTTCAGGAACTCGATGAAATGGACAAAAGAACACGATGTCTTGTTGGTAAAAGAGGTTATGCTGTTCGAACTGTGGAAATACAAATTAGGAAGTCGTGAAAGAGGAAATTGCCTCGACCGAATTGCTGAAAGCCTGAATCAGTTACAAGAGCCATTCTTCAATGTGTCACAAACGTCGATCAGAGACAGACTAAAGATACTGGAAAAAGACTTTAAGAGGAAGGATCGATTCGAGCGAAATGCATCTGGAATTTCGCCAGAGAAATCAGAAATCGATGTAATAATGGAGGATTACCTCGAGAGAAGAGAAGAACAAGAAAGAGAATCGGAGAAAATTTCCGATAAAACAGCTAAAGATAAAGCTTCCGCCGAAGAAATGCGAAACAAAGCCATGGAACGTCTTGGTGAGACAAAGAAAAGAGCCGGAGATGATCAACCGCGGAAAAAAAGAAAACATACACCAAACGAAACGATGGACTATTTAAGAGAAGCAACGGAGAAGGAATGTGAGCTGAAGAAGGAAGAACTAGAGTTTAGAAAGAAACAAGAAGAAAGGGCATTGGCACAACAAAACCTGATGTTTCAACAACAGCAGGAAATGTCCAGGCAATTTCAAGACCAGTTAAAAAATCAACAACAGCAGTTCCAGATGATGTGTCAAATGTTTATGCAGCAACAACAACAACAAAGCCAAGCACTACTTGAACTCTTGAAAAAGGGACATTGAATTTATTTTGTTGTTGTTTTTATTATACATACAAAGCTAGATTTTCGCTTTGCCGCCTAAATTTAACCTGTTTACCTTCCAACGAGTATTACAAAAATTGTGCAAGCTTGCTTTTGATAATGAGAAGGTTTTTTTTTACCATCTCTACTGGAATTTTTACACAGCCGTCAGTATTCATCAATGCTTCTTAATGTCCAAAATTTGATGAATCATGAAACGTTTTATTTTGAAGATGTATCCTGATGTATGTCCTTGCTTGTGTAATCCCTTTAACATTTTATCGTTGCCAATAATTAAATAAAATAATCATTTAAAGTTGGTGGATTGATACCAAAGTACTCTGAGGTAACAGAACCATATAAAATAGTGTGGGCGTTTTGCATCAAGGCACAAACTATGTACATTTTACCCACAGCACTTAAACCAACTTTAAGGTTCTTTTTAAAATCCAAAAATTTGAAACAGTTGATTATATCATTAAAAAACCCATTCAACTGAAACACGGGCACTGCTCATAGATTTGTTGAATTCTTGTTGATGTAGTGTCAACACTGCTCCCTTGTAAGGTCCCTGTAAGTGTGCTCTAAGAGGGTATGCAGGGTCGCCGTACACACACATAGGTAAACCAGTGACTGGTGAATTAGAAAATCTTTGCAGGTCTTGTAAAAGTCCAGACGAGGCCAGCATACCACTGTCGTGACGTTTTCCTTCTACTGGACCATGTAAATGACCAACCAGCCCATTAGGTAACGCTACTGATTGGAATTTTACGGAATGTACTCTTTTATGGCCATTATAAATGGCTCTCTGGTTTTCTCCTGGCCTACACACTGGCCGCACTGTTCCATCAATAAACCCCCAGCAGTTTTCCAAAGCTGCGCCTGATCGATATATCGCATCAGCATACAACATAAGATTTGCCGGGAAAAGCAGGTCATGATTATACCTTGAGAGTAAGTGATGCCATCGGTTATAGATCCAGTCAATCATGTGGTTTGTAATAATACAAAGCTCCGGAACAGGTCTAACAAAGTGAGAAACCATGTCCCCGTAACGGCAAGGATACGTAAAGCGCTTGAGATAGATACATAAAGCAGGAATCGATCCAACTACTAGGCCGTTATAAGTAACAATCTCATCTGGTAACTGAAGATATTCAGCAAGCTTGAAAATGTCGTTTTTGTAAAATCGGAATTCAGCTTTGCACTGGTCATTTCCAAGCTCGTCTAAATCGAATCGATCATACTTCCAATATGGAAAGTCGGGGTTTTTTGAAGTATTGGCATCCTACAGCAAAAGAAACTGCCTGTCGTTGATAAATCCTTTTCTGTGGGCATATGCAATACACTCTCTGTTTTCCCTGAAGTTCGGCATTTTAATCAACACGTAGATAAAACTATTATTCTAAATAAAAAATGTCAGTCTGCGACTTAAATTTGGCGGGAAATCTCCGCGTCGACGTCCGCAACTCGTAAGTTAAATTTGGCGCGCAATGGCAAACGGCGACGACAAAGTCGATGACGTCACCTAAAGTCGTCGTCGAGAAAGAAGTCATCGATTCGTAAGCTCCCTAATTATTCCACGAGGGCGCGTTGGATATGAGATGATAGATAGCCAACGAGGCGCGTAGAGCCGAGTTGGCTATAATCATCTCATATCCAACAAGCGCTAGTGGAATAATTGTTTTATTAAAAACGCCCACAAAATCTCGTTGAATCTCCCAGACTAGAACAAACCGGAAAATACAAGGGACTTCCGCTATTCACATGTCACACGTCTATCAAAACTGTCAACACGCGAAAGGACTCGCCTGGACTGCATGAATGAAAAATCAAAACATTGTGGCGATGAACATTAGTTTTTAAAAAACTCATCGGAATTTTAGGATTTTACACAGCAGAACAGCTAAAAAAACCTGGCAGATAATGTGAAGGAAAAGAATTTTTAAGTGACAGCCGTCGAAATTACTGTAAATTTGGATTTTCGGTGCAGTTAGTAAAAGTAAGAACAACGGAGAAAAACTATTACCTCGGTCGCTTGTTATGAAGTTGTTTGAAGCCACAAGCTGGTTTTGCTGAACGAGAAAAGAAGCTATACTACCGCCTCGATTGCTCTAGTGAATGGCTGCATAGCCTGTATTTGTAGCTGCTGGTTACTTGTGATTTATATTCTTGATGTCGGATAAACAAGCCACAGTTATCTATCGGCGAGTGACTCGATCGGCGAATGGCTTTGCGATCATGAAGAAACAACACTTGTCTTCTTTCGTAGCTGGTCAAGGTACTTTAGTTCCGGGTGTGTTTTCGACAAACTTTCAAATAAGCTCTTGTGGCTTTTTTGTTTGTTTTTGTCTTTTTTCTTTCGATGAAATTGCATTTCTAGTATTCTAAGAAATGAATTAAAACGATTTGCTTCGGTTCTATCCTTTTCGAAAAAAATCTCAGCTAGCTTCCAATTTTAAACTGACGCGTACACCGACCATATATGGAGAGCATGGTATAATAGCTCATATACCATAACGGCTAAGCCAATCAAAATGCTAGAATTGCATTATCCAATGATTCAGTTTTTAATAATGTGAGTTATTTCTTAATCAAGTACGCCATGTGCAGAACATAAGGACGAATTTCATTCGATATGCTACTGACAGCATGTATATTCAAAGCGGTCCTAAAATCCTCTGTATAAAAACCCCCGTTATGTGTAGTTGTTGGGCTGATCCAGGTGTTAGGTATCACTTACCCCCCGCCTTAATTTGAGCGTCACATAAAATTTGGCTAGATCATGCCAATGAAATGTCTTTTCCACATTCGATGCTAACGGTAAACGCCAAAGACGGAATGTAAATTAATTCCTGAGGACTATATCAACTACATTGCCGAGAAAACCAGCCAGCAGATTATAAGTCTTTCCTTTCTTCTAAAAGAAATTTGTCACGTATAAAGCATAGAAAGTTGTGAGATCTCGTTTTCAGCCGAGTACGTCTTTCACTCTTCTCCTAGACTGTCTATCGTATTTAAGGAACATAAACAGTTTCGACGTACCCATTTCGCATTTTTCTCCTCTCCATTGCGGACTGCATGAACAAGCAAACGCATCTTTCCCGGCTTCGTCGAACAAACAAGAACCTCCGTTAAGGCATCCAGCCATTAGGCAACCCTGAGGAAAATGTTCATATGTTATTTCGGTAAACTGAAATGATATAAATCGTTTTCCATAGACTTCCTACTATCAGCTTTATTAACCTGAGATCAGGCTCTATTTTCGTTTCGCTTTGAAAATTACATTCCGGCGGGCAGCGGTAGCCGTTAGAGAGAATGTATGAGAACCGCTCAAATTGGGCCTGATCTCAGGTTACAGCTTTATATACCAAAAAGCCGATGCGGTTTTAGCCACTTTTTTGGGGGCAGGGGAGGGCGACGTACTAGCTACAGATTCTTGCAGGTAGCGAGACTGATCCCTCAACATTTAAACGGCACAAGATTACAAGACAAGATGACAAGATGATTTATGAAACTCAGCTCAGTTTTACATGACATAGAGGTTAAATTTACATAGGCATCTAAACACAGTACAACTAAGGAATAAAAGAAAAATGGTAACAACAAAATGGAGAGCGAGTTGGGGTCATCCAAATAGCAAAGCCTAACCTAGTGGATGACCCCAAAGCAAATCTATGTTGAACATAAAAATTCCACTGATAAATTGCCGTCTCTACGTTCCTCTTTTTTCAACATTTATGGTTGTTTGCACTCTATACTTCTCTTAACTTAATTTTTTTTTTCAAAACATGTAAGTCTCTTGTTAGGGAAGAAAACATTGCCTTCGACAATGATTTTGCGGAACTGAAAAATTTAGGAAAGGAAAACATGGCTCGCTCCCATACGAAACATATGACTGAAATGCGAGTGTTAGCTAATGCTCTTTTACAACAACTCAACTTTACTGTTTAACCAAATTTCTATTTTTTTACTTAGCTTCGCTTGAACAGTTGTTGCCTTAGCCTGGGTTCAGGAGTCTATTTCTTCTTGCACGCAGAAATTATGCTCGTCTGCACATGCACGCCCTTGTTGTCTAAGCAATGAAAATTCAGAACTTTTCTTACCTTAAGAAAGATTGAAAACGTTGTGCCTAGATTATCAGTGAGCTTGGTGTCATCGTCAGTTGTTGAGAACTCATGCTTGTTAAGTTCACAATTGCCCGAGGACTCTTTGAAGTTAGAAGAGGTACACCAAGAATGTCTTAAACATGCTTGACTGCACGACATTTCATCCGTAGAATCTATTTTCTTGACAACATAGCCATGTAAACGCTTGTTCTCTTGCGTTTTGATGTAGGCAGACCTAGAGTCCTCTTCGGCTGCTAAAACTGCGCCAACGACGAAGCAGAAAATGAGTGAGGAAATCATGTTACTTATCTCTGCAATATTACAGCATTGTTTTCGTGAGCAGGGTGTGTCTCCGTAAAGGGTAAAATTTGTAGGGTTCATAAATATATATATAATTTTGTATTAATAATCACAGATGTTCAGGCTTCAGGAGTAATCATTGATTGTTTATTGCGACAGTGCTGTTTCGTATGGTCCGAAACTCCTGTGATTATTTTAAATAGTCAATGCTCTTCAATTAAATGAATTGAGCGCTCTACGAAATACATTCTACCCAGAATACAAGTATTATATAATTTTGTATATAGGACGTGAATTAATACTTTGAGCTCGATTGAAGCGTATCCTTTCAGTGATTGACTTATTGTCCTGCCAATGTAAGCTAATGCAGAGGATAGGAAAATATTAAAAAGCTCGTTGCCGTTTTGGCGAACAATGCGGTTGAGGACATTGGAATTCACAAAATTTGTCTCTTGTTGAATGGTGAATATAAATACTTTGCTGTTGAAAAGAAGTGCAGCTTTTCTCTACCGCAGCACTGCGAAGTTTCACAGGGCATTCTGATAAAACGCTTTCATAATGGTCGCATATCAAAAAGTTAATCTCTAAAAATTGCGAAATGTTAAGTACCTAATGGTTATTACAAACACGCATTTTAAATTAAGTTACCACTGAGCCAGCGCAGAATTAGCATAGGAAAGAGGATGCTGCCATGTAAATTTACGTTTGCTTAATGTTTCGCCCTCGTTTAGTATATAGTTAAAATTTAATGAAAGTTCGTAACTGAGGTGTCTGTCCATGCAAAGGAAATGGAAACGTAGGTCGAAAGTACGGATAGTTTCAAAATTCTAGAATATGTTTCTATTGATAAGTTGCTGAGGTCAACTATGAACATCGGTAAATAGTTTTATCGTTAACAGCAAGAATAAACATATATTGTTTAACAACTTTCAGTCAAAAAAAATGTAGTTCTTAACATCAATTAACAAGCGTCACCTGAACGTCCCACATATTAATTAAAACAGACTGGTAGTCTTATGCAGAAAGTGACGGCGTTATTGTGACAGTAATTAGCGCAAGGAAGAGAAACAGAGATGTTTTAAAATTCATCATAGTTTTAATTTAGCGAGTCTATCTTTTTGTCGAGGGCGAGGGTACCATCTCGTGGGTCGAGGGTAACATTTTTTTTTCCAATTTTTTTTTTTTGGAAAAGGTAATAATCGATGCAATCAATGTCATTAAAACAAATAAGAAGAATTTTAAAAACAAATGGCGCGTGAACATCTTCTAGTTGTTGGGTTAGGGGGGGAGAGGGGAGCGGTGGAATAGAGAAAAGCTCCGGGACATCCATAAAGAAAATGTGATGTTGTTGTTGTTGCTGTTATTTTATTAATCGATATTAAAATAGTACGTGGACATTCGAATTCGCTTAAAAGTAAAGAACCTTCTCCCTTCCTGTGAAGGTAGACAGGTTGTGCCTAAAAAAAATGGCCGTTCCATTCATGTGCAGTTTTCGAGTTTTCGTAGCTTATCTAATTAATTCCCTACGATTTTCTAAGGTTTAGTTTTTCACATTTCAGTCCCCAACTTAGCCTATTTTTCGTAGAAAAGGGAAATCTAAAATTTTCGGATTAGAAAATGCGATGGAGAGAGGAAT